GCCATGGCACTCTACCCAGGGGGATAGCTTGAGGCTCTGTCTCAAAAAAAAAAAAAAAAAACTTTCCCCATTATAAATTATAAACCTGTTTCCAAGAAAACTATAAAAATAACCATCATGAGAACAAAGCACTCACACGTGTGAGCAGCCTCTGGCAGCCACGATGTTGAGCACAGGGAAGGCATAGATGACAAACCGCAGCTCTTTGTGTGGGAGCAGGGAGTACAAAGCCACAAAGCCCAGGGACGCCAAAAGGAGCGCATGGGTCCTTCTGTCCACCATGCCCAAGGGGACAAAGAGAAGGCTGCAGCCCAGGCCACGGGGCAGGGCTGAGTAGAAGTACCACAGGAGTGGGGAGGTCTTTAGGTGGGGGTTAAGGAAGCTGCACATCAGTGATTGAGGAGCCAACCCGCAGGGAAATGGGCAGGTGACAGGATCCAGGATCAGGCTAAGACAACGCCAAGCACAGCTGTGCTAAAAGATGCCACTGGGACCATGGCACAGGCGGCAGACACAACTGGGGCTCTCGTCACATGGGGCTGTCCCCTCCAGGCACAAAGGCTGGGACCAGGCACCTGCACTCCAGCAATGGAGGCAGCTGCAGGCCCCACACCCAGGGCTGCAGAAAGTTTTCACCTTTCCCTCATCTTGTCACTATAGATTATCATGAGTGATCTATACCTTGAAGATGCATTACACTGCTTTTTCTACTTGTGTGTATATTTGAAATTTCCATAATAAAACGTTTTTAAGAAGCAGACTATCCTGAGGATTACAAGAGAGGCTAGGACTGCAAGGAGAGTGATGCTTCCACAGGACTGGCAGAAGGGAGCCACAGGACCTCGCAGCCTGGGGCCCAGGATTTCCTGGGTATGGCAAGATGGAGGACTCTGGGCCTGATCCTACAGCAGGGCCACACAGCTGGAAGTGCAGCTGCTCCCACAGCAGCTGGCCTCTGGCAGAGGCACTTAAAGGATACTCCCCAGTTGGAACTTTTATTCAGGATGGTGTTGTACCAAAGCACCTTTCCCTCCGGCCACACAAGCTGTCGCCAAAAATAGGAGTCCACAGCAACCGTCAGTCCTAATAAAATAAGAGGCTCCCAGTGGTGAACGTGGCCTCTAAAAGGCTCATGCTGACACTGCTGAGTGAGGACCAGCCATCAGTGAGTGTCCCTACAGAGCAGCATGCAGGTCCCATGGGAACCAGGAGTCAGTTTCACACAGAAAAGCTCACTGGTTGGGGATGGCACTTCCGGGAGCCCATCCCCTCAGCCTAGAGCCTGGGGACAAGCTATTAAGCTATCCTCCTGCCCTTCTGTCCTCCCCCAGCCTCAGCCAGGCCCAAAGGACAGGCAGGCAGACAAAGGCTCCAGGGCACAAGGGCAGGGTCATATAGACCCACAGATGGACAGTGTAAGTGGACCTGGACTAAGACATTGTGACACCGCTAAAAGTTAAGGCAACTTGATTTCATATAAAAAAGCAAACTCTCAAATGTCTTGTCATCTCTGTAGGACAAGACAAAACAAAAACCAGTGAGAAAATGCTACAATGAGGCTAACTCACCCAGACAGACGGCCCCAGCCGGGATGGCGTGACGGAGAAGGCTGGGCACGGAGACCTTCCCACTATGAAGCATCAACAGCAGCAGGAGACCCAGCAGCAGGCCCAACTCAGCCCTGAAGATGACAATGGCAAACGCAGAGAGCCAGATGAAGCGGGCCGAGCTGTGCCGAAGCCAGGCTTCGAGGGCCAACAGGACTGCAAGACAGCAAGGGAGGGGCACTGTCAGATGTGGTAGCCATCGTTCCAGAAAATAGGCGACTGTTCGGAACTGCTAACGCAGACACCACCACCCCACCCCCCCCTCATGTCACTTGCTGGAAAGTTCATCCCAACCAAACGCCAAGATCAAAAAGCCCAAGTTTCCCATCACAGGCAGCCTGAGTCAGCATTTCTGCGGAGCCCAGTGGGGAGTGGCTGCCTCAGGCAACATGCCCCTAACTGGGAGGGCCCCTCACTGGCCGCTGAGGGTGGGGCCCAACGCTGAGTGTGTAGGCACAGCCAGGCAGCTACGTACCCACAGGCAGGGCCAGCACGTTGGGCAGTGTCCGCGTACAGTAGAACATGAGGTGAAACTGTGTGGCTGTTGCCCAGCAGAACATGGTGGCCACTGTGGCCCCAAACTGTCGCCTCACTTCTTTTTGTAATGTCCAGAGTCCAAAAATCACACCAAGTCCAAGGACTCCTCTAACTAAACAAAGAAAACAGCCACAAGTGACCCCACAGTGGATGGTGAAGCAGAATGGTCTTTCAAAGTGTCACTGGCAATGGTGAAGTCAGGTGATGGCAAAACCACCCGAGAGGGAGCTGTGCTTGATATTGAAAACAGAGCCTGTGCCAGCATTTCTGCCAGGAGCTGCAACATCAGACCTGCAGGCTCTGGGGGCTGCTCTCCAATGGCTGGAGGGAGAACTGGGCGACCGGCAACAAAGGCGGCCTTCTTATCCAACACCAAACCAGAGACCCCACCAGGTGGTGAGACATCTCTAAGGGGTAGTGTTTTTGAGGGCCTGACTCAATCTTAATCTAACCAGCAGCCAAGAGGAGGCCAGGATATGGTGGGAAAGCAGGTGTCTAGGGGCAAGACACACACTGGCAGCTGTCCCAGGAAGAGGTGACGTGGTACCCAGGACAGTGTCTGCAGATCACCCACCCTCAGTGGGCCAGCCTATCAGCTGCTGGCAAGAAAGGCTAAAAATAGGAAGGAAATGAACTTCTGGGCTGTTCTTGCCATGTTTCTAGGAGGCCAGAAGAGGCTTTGAAGTTCCCATGTACAAGGTAACAGACTTCCAAGTGACGGACCTGCCATTCCCCACACAAACCCAGCGTGGACTCCTGACATTTCTAGATGCTGCTGATTCAAACTGTAAGTATCTTATATAGGATATTTTTTAATACCTCCATAAATGGGTCTCATTCAGTTTCTGTAGTTTTAGTGTTAGAATGCTCATCCTGGCCCTCTTAAGTAGTTCACAGCATTCTTCTTTTTTTTTTTTTTTTTTTGAGACACAGCCTCAAGCTGTCACCCTGGGTAGAGTGCTATGGCATCACAGCTCACAGCAACCCCCAACTCCTGGGCTTAAGTGATTCTCTTGCCTCAGCCTCCCAAGTAGCTGGGATTACAGGCACCCACCACAACGCCTGACTATTTTTTGGTCGTAGTTGTCATTGTTGTTTGGCAGGCCTGGGCTGGATTTGAACCCACCAGCTCTGGTGAATGTGGCTGGTGTCTTAGCTACTTGAGCTACAGGCACCAAGCCAGTTCACAGCACTCTGGCACAGTGCTCCACCTTTCATTTCCTTTAAGTCCATGTCTGACGAGGCATCATCTGCATTCTGGGTGGACAAAATAGCTGTAAGAATGAGTTTGGCTCACTGGGGAAATCTAAATATGATCTGAGTATCAGACATAATAAAAATTTACTTGGCTTGGCACCCATAGCACATTGGTTACAGCACCAGCCACATACACTGAGACTGGCAGGTTTGAACCTGGCCCAGGCCAGCTAAACAACAATGACCACTGCAACCAAAAAAAAAAAAAAAAAATAGCCAGGCATTGTGTGGACACCTGTAGTCCTGGCTACTTGGGAGACTGAGGCAAGAGAACAGCTTAAGTCCAAGAGTTTGAAGTTACTGTGAACTGTGATGTCATGGCACTCTACCAAGGGCAACAGTGACAACAGTGACACTCTTATCTCCAAAAAAAAAAAAAAAAAAAAAAAATTTTTTTACGAAAACAAAAAAGTGTTGACTAAAAAAAATCAGGTTGCAGAACAATATGTACAGAATGTCCTAATTTTTTTTCAAGTATTCCTATGGGCTAGGCATAGTGGCTCACAGCTATAATCCCAGCACTCTGGGAACTGAGGCAGGAGGATCCCTTGAGCTTAGGAGTTTGAGACTAGCCTGAGCAAGAGTGAGACCCCATCTCTATTAAAAATAGAAAAAAAAAATTAGCCAGGTGTCAGCTGCTTGTGGTCCCAGCTACTAGGGAAGCTGAGGCAGGAGGATCTCTTCAGCCCAGGAGTTTGAAGTTGCTGTGAGCTGGGCTGATGCCACAGAACTCTACCTAGGGGATAGAGTGAGACTCTGTCTCAGAAAAAAAGTACTCACATGGACGTGACCCAAAAGGATCTGCACACAGGCCTAGTAGCGGCAACCTCTGGGAACATAAGATTTCTGTTTGTTATGTTCCCCGATACAAATGTGCTCCTTCTGCAAAGATGAAGGACTGTGTAATCACACAGGGCTCTCCAGGGTGATGGGTTGAGGTGGCTCCTCAGTGGCTCTAGCAATGTAAGCACCACAGAAGGTGCCTCACCGGCATGTTTCCTTCCTCCTACCCAGCCCTGGGGAGGAATTCATTGTAACCCTGCATTTCACAGCTAGGAATATGGAAGCACCGAGGGGCTCACTCACGTGTCCCAGGTCAGACCCACCATGCTAAAGTCTTCATAGGCAGACAAGACTGTCACAGAAAGATGACTGAGATCATCAGATACCGCAATTCTGCATTTTATCTGCCTTTTTTGAAGACCTCCTTACCTATTAGCTGAGAGTAAAACTTAGATACTTCTAACAGTGAAAGCACATAAACCACAGGGCCAGAGAATGCTGCCATCAACAATGGTCCGAGGAATGTCCTGGGGACAACTCCGGGGAATTCATGATGGTCATACTGCAAAGAGAAGGGTAGTTCAGTACAAAGAGGTCCTCAGGAGTTGGATCATGGGCTTTTTGGCCAAAGGCAGCAGCGGCCTCACCTTCTCCACATCCAGCCGGTGGTAGAGCAGGTCATGGGTGGCCTGCAGGTTGAAGCTTTCCTCCACTTTGGTGTAGGGACAGGTGACCAAGTGGACAGTGGCTACAGCCACGAGCAGCCCCAGCAGCAGGAGCCGCTTGCCTGACGACCTCTTCCCAGCCATTTAGGGCTTTGAACTTCATGTGCCTTCACAGAACCAGCAGCGCAGGACAACTGGGAAGACTGCCACTCTAAGCGTTTTGAAAGAAAGAAAATATACATCCCTAAGTTTCAAAAATCAGATTTGGGAGATCTGGGTAAAGGGTAAGCAGGAATTCTCTGCATTACTGTCATTAAGTCCTATAAATCTGAAAACATGTCAAAATGGAAAGTTAAAAGAAAAATCATGCTTGAGAACCCTTCATATTTTAACCAGCTATCTTGCACTTTAAGGTCTGTGAATACTTTTCTGGGAAGACTTCAGTTGTAGAACCCTGAGTCTAGCCAGGCCATGGCTGCCCCAGGTGGTGGCAAGTGTCAAGCAGCCCCTGCCCTTGAGAAGCTGAAATCCTGCAGGAGAGTCCCACGTGCAGCTCCATGAAACTGGACAAAGAGATGGGACAAGAGGCTTTGAGGTAGGGGCTGGTGAGCTGGGTGCACAGGGAGGACAGTGGCAGGACAGCGTAAGGTGGCACCACGCTGGCCATGAACCTGATTGTATCCTCAGCAGAGCCTGCAATTGGTCACCCAGACACCACCAGGACAATCTCAAGGAACCAACGGCCTCGAGTTTCCTGAAAAACCATGACAGTGTCTAGCTGCTACACATGGAAGATCTAGGGAGGGAGATGGCAAGTTCTTGTTTCTGGATTCTTCTGAAATGCATTTGATTTTCTTCAATCAAAACCAGAAGGGGCAGAAGCAAAGGCAGAGAGAATCATGGTGCTTACTATTTGTTAAAACTACCTTTTGATTAGACAGAAAGTTAAGAAGTCTGTACTTTCCAACAATAGCAAATAAGGAATTAACAATTTAAGGAAAATCACCAGCTACTCCAGAGGCTAAGGCAGGAGGATCACTTGACCCCAGGAGTTCAGGGTTACAGTAGCCATCATCCTACTGCTGCACTCCAGCTTGGGTGACAGAGTAAGACCCCATCTCAAAATGCAAACACACACACTGGGCATGGTGGCTCACACTACAATCCCAGCACTTTGGGAGGCCAGGGTAGGAAGAACGCTTGAGGCCAGAAGTTCAAGACCAGCCTGAGAAAGGGTGAGACCTCTGCCTCTACGAAAAATAGAAACATTAGCTACACATGGTGGCAGGTGCCTGTAGTCCCAGCTACCTGGGAGGCTGAGGCAAGAGGAGCCCTTGAGCTTGGGAGGTTGCAGTGAGCTGTGATCACACCATTTCCCTCTAGTCCAGGATATAGTAAGACTTTGCCTCAAAAAAATAAATAAATAAATAACATGTGAAGGAAAATCTGTAGATGAGAAGAAACAGGAATCCTATTTGATATGGTAGTGGTAGGGAAAGGGTGGGGGAGAAAGGGAAAAAAGGGCTTTAATAATTTTAGATAAGCACTGGGAGGCCACAGTGGGTGGATCGCCTGAGCTCAGGAGTTTGAGACCAGCCTGAGCAAGAACAAGACCCTGTCTCTATTAAAAATAGAAAAACTGGGCAGCACCTATAGCTCAGTGGGCAGGCATCAGCCACATACACCAAGGCTGGTGGGTTTGAACCCAGCCTGG